TTCATACCTTTGGCAGTTGGCCGCTTGGTGTCCCTAGTTTCACTTCTCGGCGTCCAATCGCAGCAGACTTAATTTGTTGTAGCTAGGAGGGGGTTCGGAAAGCGAGAACACAGGCCCGAACTTTATAATATGGAAAAATTTGGCTTTTACATTTTGGTAGGACCAACCAGGAATTTGGGAATTATATCAGAAATTGCAGGTATACAGAGATTTCCGGTCGTTGCAGGTTATGTCTTAAATTGTTTAACTACTCCGAAACTACAAACAGCTCAACTGTCATAGGCCTTACAGCCGCCAAGTTTAAGAACCTTATGCTTCCTATGCATGCCTTCGCATTGTCCAATGACCTTATCCGGAATCAAACCTGCGACCTTCAGGCTTGTTGCATAGTGCCTCAACCGACTACGCTACTGCGTGCCCCTATGGAAATAGAATTTTGGATGTAAAATACGTAATCGAAACATTCATCGTAGCTGTATGTCTGTAACTGGTTAGGCAGGATATGCGCGCAGGTACTCCGGGCTGGCTGGAAGCAGCATTGCAATGTGACAGCGCACTGTATTACATCAGATGTAATGAAAAAGACTTCACCGGTTCCCGAAATGTTTACTGCGTGCAGACAAAGAGGCATATGGACAGGCCTGAGAAGCAATTTTAATAAGGGTTGCGAAAGCGTCTAAAACATTGCGAACGTAGACGGCGAGGGGTAACTTCCAATCCAATGGTCATACTGAAAGGTCTGTTCTGGAGAAAGCCATGGAAATATACTGGAAAATGTTAATTTTCTCTTCTCGCTAGCACAATCATAATTCCCCCCCCCCTTGGCACTACAGCCCCAGTGGGCCTAGGCCTACCTCCATGAATTCCGTTCACTTCGGTTTTTCTAGATCTTACACATACGGTAGGACTCCTTGGGCGGGTGATCAGCTCGTCGCAAGGCCTCTACTTGTACACAAACACAGAAAAACACACAGAAACATCCATGCCCGGAGTGGGATTCGAACCAACGATCCCGGCTTCCGAGCGGGCGAAGACAGTGTATACCTTAGACCGCTCGGCTACCGTGACCGGCTCAGCACAATCATATAGACTGAAAAATTCGAATTGATTTATTTAAAGAACTTATTTTATGTACCCCGAAATTCATAATATATTTTCAGAATATGCGAACTTTCGAGACGGGTAGACATCAGAGACACTTGATATATAAAGTAAATGTTAGAGGTAAAGTTATCACTGTACTTAATTATGTAATTACGGACCAGGACATGAATACATATGGGGGAGTAGTAGATGGAGGTGGGTGGTCAGCATCACACCCACCCCGCACTGGTTATGAAGCTGTGTGGGTCCCAGAGACGGCCCGGACACTATGGACGTTTCGAGAAGTGCTCGCGCGAATTCTCTATACGGTCTCTGGTTTGATAACTATACTTAACACACCGTTATAGCATCTCATGTGAAAGTTTTTGAATGTAAAAAGTAAAAATAAAGGTAAAGCTATCCCCGTATCAGGCCGTGGAGGCCCATGTTGTTTTGTGAAGGAAGCAATATTGCGTATTACTTAAGCATAGGGAAATTTTTAAATTTAACTTTACCTTGCCTAACAATTATATGACACAGCTGAGGGACTGGGAAGTTGATAGTGTACGTATACACAGTATATTCCAGGGAAAATTAAGCATACATAACGGATTATTGTTTTATTATTATATTATATTTCATCATCCCGTTGTATTCAGGCATTATCCTTTATTGTCAAAGTATCAGTCAATAATGCAACAATTTAAAAGACATTAGGAATATGTTTCACACTAAAAATGTATTTCAACTCTTTTTTATGTTAAAATTATTACATGTTAATAGGACATAAAAAGCACATTCTATACATTAAAAGTAATTATCCAATTTTCTAAAATGTCTTTAGTCATTCCTAATTTCTTTTAAATTGTTGTATTGTTGACGTATACGCTGATAATAACTGATTATTGTTTTGTTCAACTGTTGCATTGACATTACTGCTAACCTCACAACATATATACAAAAGGGAGAATTATAAGGGAGTGGGAATAGTGAGATCTTTGCAGGATTTATTATTTCCTTGAAATCCTTTATTTTCAGTCCAGACGACTTCCTGAAAAAACGCGTCGGGAGGTACTATTAATTTGCCTTTATTTATAACGAGCATTCCCTCGCTGGTCATGACAGCTGCTGGTGGCACTATTACACACCGCCATCTGCTGTGTTGCCCAGCCTGTCCCGTTAGCTGCATATGCATGCAAATGCTGTGAGGCTCTCTCTATATAAGTGCTTTCTCTTCCACCGTTTCTTCGTCGCAGCTTTCTCTCTCCGCTGTGGAATTCACAGCACAACAGACACGTAGCATACTGTCAGAGGAATGAAAGTACCGGAAATTCTTTAGTAGGATTAGATAAAGCTCAGGTCTTCGTCTTTGTCCGACTCGGGTGTGGATC